TGTGCTAAGTCAAATATATTCTCCGCACTCGAAGCGTATACCGATGAATTCTCACTTACCACAACCTTGTGATTATTATCGATGATTCTTTCGGCGCCATTATAACTTTTCGAAATGAATTGACGATAAAACGTCGAATCTTGAGACGACGCCGCGATTTGTGGTGGTGGTGGTGCTTCGAAAGGAGGTAATTGGAGTTTCTTTAGCTTCTTTTTCAAGTGAGTGTTCCAATAATTCTTGATGTCATTGTCTGTTCTTTGTGGCAAGTATGTTGCTATAGCAGCCCATCTGTAATTTAAAAAAACAAATTACTATAATTATGATGATCATTAATTAATTAAAAAAGAATTAATTAGTATAAATTAAATAGTTAATTACTTGTTGCCTAATAAAGCTTGGAGATGGATAATCATCCCTTCTTCATGTGGGGTGAAATTGCCCCTCTTGATCCCTGGTCTCAGATAATTAGTCCACCTCAGCCTGCAACTCTTGCTGCACCTCAACAAACCTTAAAAAGAAAATTCAAAAACAAAATATAAAAAAATTAAAAAAAAAAGTCGAGTTTTTCGAATATCAAGACTAGTATAAAAATCACTAAAACCAGAACCCGAAAACCCAAAACCCGAAACCCAAAACCCAAAACCCGAATAATCTTCAAAATATATATGGTGTGTGTGTGTGTGTTTTTTTTCAAGTATTCATCCAAAACACACACACACACACACACACACATATATATATATATATATAAAGACAAGAAGTAATACCGGTATTAGTAGGAACAGCTCTCCAATTACCAGGACCATGTTCTTGAATATAAGACACTAAAATGATGTCTTCTTCAGGTGTCCATGGTCCTTTCTTGATTCCTACTTTATCACAGCATGGAGGCCTTCCCATTTTAATTCCTATGTTGGGGGTGGTGGGGGTGGGGTGGGGTAGGTGTGTAAGAGAAAACTTGTGTTCTTGATAAATTAATCTTGTATATATATATATATATATATATATGAAATCCTATAGATATATATGTATGGTGATGATGATAAGAGAGAAAAAGGGCAGTTTTGTTATTCACCTGCAGGATATTTGGTGTGTACTTCTACATTGAAGAAAAACAAGAAGTCAATTATGTGGATATATATACATACACATATATACATGCATACACCATTATTATATATCATAAGGGAGATTTAATGCTTTAAAGAATTACATATTTTTGCTCTTCTGATATATCTTGTGTGGGATCACGTGGTGGAACAGGAACTCTTTTATTTTTCTTGTTGACCTAAGATTTTTTAATTAATTATTAGGGAAAATTGCACATCAACCCCTGTAAATTTATAATTTTCGCACTTTACCCCCTCAATTTTTTAAAAAGTGAATGCCCCCTTTAAAATAGTATTCTTGTTGCACATTGCCCCGATATCAAAACTCTTATGGATTATTGATCAGAATTGAGTATTTTTGTTACACATTACCCCTTTAAACGCTATTTTTTTGCTGCATATTGCTCCTTAAAAAAACTTCTTTTTTGCATGCTATCTCTTTAAAATGTCATATTTGTTGCACAATAATTGGCTTATGGGTCAAAGTGCAATCAAAATAATATATTTCGATAAGAAAATATCCCTTTTTTGAATTTTTAGGGGGAAAGTGCGAAAACGAGAAATTTCCAGGGAGTGAAGTGCATTTTTGCCTAATTATTATTATTTTGTATTGCATGTGGTGTTAATTTCTAGTAGCTTAATAATTATGATGTATGTCGATAATTGATGGACAATAATTAACTTTAATTTGTTATTATTTATTTCCAGCAAAAGACAGTTTGGGAGTACCTTATGCTCTGTATACTTGTACCTTGTCTTTTGATAATTTCTGATCAGAGGGAAACAGAGGGGGGGCCTGTCACCAAGAACACACACACACACACACTCACACACACACACACTATATAGACAGACATATAGGATCTATACCTAGTATATTTACACATGCTACTGTGTGTTGACTGTATCTGTATGTTATGGCAGTTAATGGTGGTTGTTGATTGAACAGTGTTAAGTACTTTCGGGCCGGTACTTCTGCTATACGGTTTTGGGCCGGCCCAACTATAAATAGTAATTTTTTTTTTCTTTTTGGACAAAATGCACTTCACTCCCTATAAATTTTCAATTTTTGCACTTTCCCACCCTAAAATTTCAAAAAAGGGATACCTCTCCTTCGAAATATTATTTTGGTTGTACTTTGCCCCGGAAGTCAATATTTTGACGGCATTACGCAACAAAGTTTGAAGGGGCAACGTGGAAAAAAAATAGTGTTTTTAAGGGGTAACGCAACAAAAATACTCAATTTTGATGAGTAATTCAACGGAGTTTTGCTATTGGGGCAATGTGCAATAAAAATAACATTTTGAAGGGGCATTCACTTTTAAATTTTTTGAGGGGAAAAGTGCAAAAAATAGAAATATACGGGGGTGATGTGAAATTTGCCCTTTCTTTCTTTGTCTTTTCCTGAGAAAGATATAATATATGGTAAATTACGAATATACATTTGAGGTAAGGTAAATTTGCGAATGAACCCCTTTCGTTATTGAAATTACAAATATCCTCTCAAACTGATGATCATGAATAAAAAGAAAAGAGAAGAAACGAAAAACATGGGTAGTTCAACTGGTTCCCGGGTGGTAAGTTGGTACAAGTAGAAAAAGTATTGAAATTTAAAGTGTCTCTTAATTAAAAAATCCCTTTTTTTTGTAAAATTAGATTTACGCCCTCAAACTATCAATATATTATTTTTTGTAACAAAAATTATGAAATATCTATGTTCTTGTCTTCTTGAAATAATTTAAAATTAGTAAATTGTGAAATATCTAAATTGTGTCCGCATGGTCAGGAAGTTGATCGTGGGAACATGATGGGGTTTGTGGCAGGGCGTTACTCTGAACTATGAATTAAAAAAAAAAATAGTTATTTTGCAATGATACTTTTTGAATATTAGTTTTGCCCCCTTAATATTTTTGTAAACATGTCTCTGAACTCTTTATTTTTATGTTTTTTTTCCATAATTTTATATAAATTATACACTTCTGAGTTATGATAAAATAACTTTAAGGTCTCTGTAATATTGGTAATTACATCCACATCCCTAAAATAATTACCGGAGCCAAGATTTCATGTCCTGGGGACCAATATGCATTGTATGTTTGTATTTGTTTCCCGCGGGGCCGTTATACTATTATAAATCTTATATAAACTAATAAATATTTAGCAAATGTTAGGAAAGTCATGTCACCCATAGCTTTATTTTGTCACCACCACTGCCTGAAACTAATAGTCCATTAGGACCCTAACGGAATAACGTATCCAATGCATTATCCCGTTAGGGTTTCTAACAATGTTTCAGGGCTGATTGTGATTATCAATTTTACAGGGACCTTAAAGTTATTTTAGTATACTTAGTGGTGTAGGTGTAATTTACTCTAGATATAAAATCATATTCAATATAACAATTTAAAATAAAATAGATACAACTTTTATTGTTTTAAGTAAAATTTAGGGTAAATTACGAGGACCCCCTGTGGTATGACCAAATAACTTACACACCCATGTGATATCGATAATTACAAATACCTCCTCTCAACTATTGCTCTGTCTAACAGTTACACCCTTACGGAGCTATGACTAACAGAATCTTGAAGATTCAATGGAATATTCGATATGAATTTCCAGATCTATCCCAGGGGGCTAAATGTAATATAGAGGAGGTAAATGTAATATGTTATCTTATCTGAGGGGTATCCTTAATTTACACAATTTTTTTTTTTTTGTTAAATAAAATGGTAAATTTAGACATTTCATTCATTCCGTTAGGATTTATAATCAGGTGTTAGTTTTAGGAGTATTTGTAATACCAATACCACATAAGTTTGTAGGCTACTTGGTCATACCTTAGGGGTCCCCGTAATTTCACCTAATTATTTTTTTTTTGAGAAAATTCAAATCCATTACTAGGAGAAGTAGGGGAGAGGGGAGTGGAACACTAGACCGTTACTCTATTGGTAAAGGCTAGATACCAACTCCCCTAATGAGGGTTGGCAATTTAACATAAAATTTATGAATGTACTTATTTTTTTTATTTTTTCTTCTTCTCAGTGCTTCTAAACAATAACCTAGTGCGATACCAGGGTCGTAAATAAGTCAAGTTCGAGCCAAGCTCGTCAAATTTTTCGAGCTCGAGCTCAAGCTCGTAAAACTTTAATTTACCCATAAAATTAAAACCCAAGTTGGGTTCTTGCTTACGACTTTTTCATTCTCAATGATTAAATGTAAAGTCAAAATGAAAAACAAAAATTCAAAAGAAAAACAAATTGCAAGATCTCTATCCCAAAACCAAAACCCCATCAGAAATCTAACTTCAAATTTCAACACCACCGTAGAAATCTACAATACCTCACTGCAAAATCCTCACACTCTCCCAATTTATTCTCATGGCAGAGGGCAACGATAATTCAGAAGTCAAACATGCCCAACAACCCGTAATTTCTCTCTCCATCTCCGTTGTTTTTTTTGTAATTAATTTCGCCGTAAAAATCCATTCTTTGATGATGGTTGAGTCTTAATTTATGCAGCGCTCTATGTTATGGAGTTTTTCCCAATTGTATTCAAGAAAATCTGATTTTTTTTTTTTAGTTTTTATTTATTTATAATTTTCCAATATTGTGTAGTTTTTGGAGGTGGTGTGCAAGAGTTCGGGCAAAATTAGGCGTTTTTCGAATGGAACCGAAGCGGGTTTTGCTGTTAATTTGATAAACAAGAAATTGTTTAATGGTGGTGGTAGTGGGAATAGCTTATTGGCTTCCCACATTGAGGCTGTTAAAGAAGGAGAAGAAAAAGAAGAAGAAGCTGTTAGCTTCGGCCCCAATTCGTTGCTCGTCGATTATGGGTCCGGTTGGAAGTTGCAAACTGTCGTTGAATCGAATGGTGAATTAATCATTTGTGTTGCTATATTTTTTATGTAAATTGTGAATATTGAGTGTTGTTGATATGTTATTGTTGTGTTTTTTTCCGTTTGATAGGTGATAAAGGAGGAGATGTTGGCAGGAAGAGAGTGAAGAAAGCTTCTACCGATTACGAGGTTTGTTGTCTTTGTGAATTGTTGAGGTTTACGATTTGAGAAAATGGGGTTTTGTTGGAAATGATACTAATATAGGGTAAATTACGACCAACCCTGAGGTAAGGTCAAATTACGAAAAAATCCCTCATGTTCGGATAATTGCAACCACCCCTTAACTATGAATCTTCTTACACGTCCACCTCTACCCTTATGGTGTCAGAATGTTCTCTAGTTTGTATTCGTTTTGTGCAAAAATGCAGTTATACACCACAATCTGATATTTACAAGCCAAGAGACACATCTTATGATCATCTTGTTTTAAAATGTGGAGCTCGAATGGGGTAAAACGGGTACAAATTGGAGAATATTCCACATAATTTAGAAGATTTCACTAAATTGACACCGCAAAGGGTGAACGTGTAAGAAGATTCATAATTGAGGGGTGATTGTAATTATCCAAACCGGAGGGATTTTTTCGTAATTTAACCTTACCTCAAGGGGTGGCCGTAATTTACCCTACTAATATATTATGAATGAGAATGCTTGAACTGGAGTGGTGAAATTATATGCGATAGTTTGAGGTTTTGGATGTTAGAACAAATGTGGTTTTGGGGATAAAGATTGGTGTAAGTTTGTTGTTTTAATCAGTTCTCCATTGGAAAATCTTGAACGACGACTTCGTTTCAGTTTTAAAAGTTCCCAATTCAAATTGAATCAGTTGTGTTCACTCTTCGAAGTCTTGAAAAGGAAAAAAACGATGACAACCTTATTACTATGATAACCAATAGCCTTGTCACAAATTATGCAAGAACGAAAGAAGTATGTCACGTAACATCTTTAACTAATCTTAGTTCGCTCCGAGAAAGAACCTTCTATAGTTCATATTCCGATTTTCTCTGATATCATTGTATGTATAAGTGACACGATGCACAATTTTCTATTTACGATTTTCTTGATTAGATTAGTTTCTTAATCGACTATAGGAGTTGATATTTCGATGCATAACAATTAATTATGCGTTTTGTTTTTGCAGGACTATGATGATCCACATGCCAAGAGGGGAAACCAGTCACCTCTCACTTTAGTGTACGTTGGAAAGATAATATTCGCATTTCTTCTGATATTTGTGTTCGGTGCAGTTTTCACCTTGGCTTTGGAAAACCTTCCCCGATTCATCTTGTATATTAATTCGTCATTCTGAATTTTATTTCTGCGTGTAAACTTTTTTTTTTTTAAATTAATTGAGTTCTTACTTGTACTGCTGCCAACAAACAATGTTTATAATTTTATCATCACGTCTTTTGTCTAAAGAGTCTTTTGTCTAAAGAAGCTAGTAGGAAAATTCTTACGAAAATTGTAGTAGGAATACATATTAGATTCCGATTTTCGATCTGATTTTAAGTTACACAAAAGATTTTTGAAAATTCTGATTTTTTTTCGGAAATTGCACTGATAATATTAATATGTATTTTGTAAATTTGGATTTTCCGAATCCCGCCGATTCCAATCCACAAAATTCCATTATTTGAACAAGTTTTTTCGTTCCAATTTCTGAAATTTCGACTTCTGATTTTTCTGAAGGTTTTTGGAACGTGATTGGAATTAGGTTTCCACTTCCGAAAAAAAATGTAACTTTTCCAACATTGCTAATTCCGATCCGTCCGATTTCCCCCCGTAGAGGCAATAGTCTAATCGAACACAAACATATAATTGCACCGGAATGTGTGACAAACGCAAATTAAAAGACGTAACATATGACAACAAAAATATCACGTTACGGATTATAAATTTAATCATACTCGTACAACGATATAGGACACGACACATCACTTAGTAAAGAATCGAGAATTTCACACATTCTATCGTCCCTCGGATGCAAAACATCGCCAGCAAAGAACTCTCTAACAATTCCATTAACTTCCACAGCACTGCATCCCGGTTTTTTCCGCATTTGTTTCGTCTCCATCAATCTCCTAACACTCTTCGCCTCGTCATTCAAACCAGCTTCTCGGTACATATTATACACAAGCACATAAATCCCGTAATCAACCTTTCCCTTATTAGCGATCTTTCTCCACAACCTATTCCCGATATCGACTCTCCCATATACCCGACACGCGCCTAATAAAGCTCCCCATACATTAAAATCCCCTTCACCAATTTCACCGATTTTCTCATCAATAAATTCCTCTGCTTCCTCTAACTTGCCGGATCTTGCCAAAAGATCAACCACACATGCATAATGTTCGATCTTCGGTCGAATCTTGTGGACCCCGCTCATGCTTTTTAACAAAGAAAGGCCGGTTTCGACCAATTTTGCATGAGTGCAAGCGGTTAGGATAGCAACAAAAGTGGCTTCTGTGGGTTTGGTCCCACTCGAGACCATGTTGTTAAACAGCTCGAGAGATTTTGTGGCGTCGCCATTCATTGCAAATCCGGAGATGATAGCATTCCAAGCTCCACTATCTTTGTAATGAATCTTTTCGAAGATTTGTAAAGCCAATTTCAAGAAACCGCATTTCGAGTACATGTCGACCAATGCGGTAGCTAGGATGGGATTTGATGTGTATTTGCATTTCTCGGCGTACGAGTGTATCCATATACCTTGTGCCGATGCACCGAGATGCGCACACGCTGTGAGAGCACTAACAAGAATGGATTCGTTGGGCTTCAAATTCGACTCCTCCATTCTTCTGTATAAGCACAGCACTTCTCTGAAATCGCTTGCTCGTGAATATGCTGCCATTATTGCACTCCAAGAGATCACGTTTCTCTCGGGCATTTCGTCGAACATCACCCTAGCTTTCTCGACGTCCCCTGTTTTACCGTACCCGTCGATCATGGTCGTCCGCAGCACCACATCTCTCACGGGAATTTCGTCGAACAGGTCCTCTGCAGTCGCCATATCTAGAATCGAATTGTAGAAGCTAATCAGAGCGCTTGCGATAAATGGGTCATGGAGAAAACCCAACTTTGCAATGTGGGCATGTACTGAAAGACCCATATGCCGGAGCTCAGGCGAAACCATGGAACAAGCTTTAACTAGAGGTGTGAAGGTGTAGTTATTTTTTATGAGTCCGTCTTTGAGCATGTCTCTGTAGCATAAAATGGCATCTACGGGCTGGTTCGACTGCACATATCCTCTCATCATAGTGTTGTACTCAAAAGTTGTGCGGCGCCGGTGACTTTGGAATGCGGCACAAGCATAGGAGCAGAAAGCGGTGTTAAGGGAGGTGGCGGGGCACCGGAAGGAGGAGAATTTGAGACCATGGCGGCGGCGATTCGCTGAGAAAAATCCTCGCATAAACGTTGATGGTGGATTCCGACGACTTGAGATGCAGTGGGATGCATGAGTCTGCGGCGGAGATAATTTTCTCGGCGGGTTGTGGGCTAAAGACGATTTCTTGCGGCGGTTTTCTAGTTGAAGTTAAAGTTTAAGAAACTACAATTTGACCCCATGTTTAGTATTTTCTGATATTCTAATTTCAGTCCCTCGAGTTTTGGGGGTTTCTTGATTATAGCGGGGGCTAATTGAAAAACATCTTTTCTTTTTTTTTTTGTCCAAAAGATTTTATTATTCCGATAGGGTAAAATTCATTTTGCACCCTTGTACTATGCGAAATGTATCGTTTACCCCCTGATGTATAGAAAACATCAAACACCCCCTACCGTTAGTTTTTTCCTAATTCCATTAGTCAAACCTTTTGACCTGCTGTTGCTAAGGGTTGATGGCTTTTTTTTTTTTTTTTGACGAAAATACCCAAAAAACCGTTAGTTTTTTCCTAATTCCGTTAGTCAAACCTTTTGACATGCTGTTGCTAAGGGTTGATGGCTTTTTTTTTTTTTTTTTTTTTTTTTTTTTTTGATGAAAATACCCAAAAAATCTCTATTTATAGGTTGCTTAGTTTTGGCCATTTGTTCGCTCTTTTCAGCTCTCTTTTTTCACTTTATTCAGTCAAGTTTTTACTCTTGTCAGCTTGTCTCTCTTTTGATTATGCATAAAAAAAATTAAAAAGTCGAATCAATAAGAATGAAACTTTGCAGATCATGAATGCAAAACCCACAAAAAAAAAAAAAATGAAAACCCCTGAAATCTAAAAAATACCTTAAAAGTGAAATAAAACCTTATAAAAGAATTACAAATTAAAAATAAATCTTTCATATTATAATGGAAAAACCCCCAAAAAAATAAAATTGAAAACATCTAAAATTAAACACTAAAATCGACAAAACCCTAATTCAAATGAACGCTATAAATCGTCAACAATCCACAAAAATAAACTTTAAATAATTAGGGATTATACCATACATAAAGCAGGTAAAAAGTAATTTCACGCTCAAATTTAACACTGTTAAAAGTTTGACCACCAACCGTAAAAAATAGGGGGCGTTTGATGTTTTCTATACTCCAGGGGTAAATGATATATTTTGCATAGTACAGGGGTGCAAAATAAATTTTACCCTTATTAAGGGCTCGTTAAAATGTTGTGGACCTATACAAGGAAAAAGAGTACCCTGGAAACAAAAATTGCTGCAGGCAATGTTTTGAAAACCGGACCGGACATCAACCCGGCCAAGCTACCGGGTCACGGTTGAACCGGTTCAACCGGGGTCCAACCGGGTTTTTGTATTTTTTATTTTATTTATTATTTTCATATAGTTTAAAATATAATTATATTATAAAATATCAATTGAAAATACAATCCTTTGATAATCAACCTAAAAGTTTAACAAATAAATTTTAAACATAAAATTTAAATCAATGTACCTAATATCATATATACAGAGTCATAATTTAGAAATTTACAAAAGTAATATATATATTATTTTAATTTTACTTTCACTAATACCTTTTCATTATTTTACGTTTCATTTTCCTCCACCACTTAACCCTACTTCTCTCTCTATCTCTCTCTCCTCTCTCTTTCTTTCTCATACTTCCCATCCCAACTCTACCCACATACAGCCGCCAACAATTCTTTGTTCTTACTCAGTATTACCAAAATCCTACTCAAGCCCCCTTACTCTCATTTCTTTTGTTTATTCTTCTTATATTTTCTTCTTTTAATTGATTGGCATACAAAATTTTCTCTCAATCCTCAGATTCAGTAGATCCGAAAACTCTTTCCCACATTTTTCTAGTTTTCTGTTCTTCTCCCTGACCACACCGTAAAAATCAGCCTCTCCTTCCTTTTATTTACAAAAACCCGGTTTTGGCCGGTTCCGGGTTTTCCCGGTTCAACCGTGGATTTCACCGGGTTTTTGCTGTTCAACCGGGTTTTTGCATCTTACGGGTTTATGTGTTGAACCAGACCGGACCCCTCGCCGGTTCCCGGTTAAACCGGTTCGACCGGCCGGTCCGGTCCGGTTTTCAAAACATTGGCTGCAGGAGCCCCAGGTGGAGGTCAGACTATAATAGACATAAAGCTGGAAAACCTGGGCTTCTCCACATAATAAATCCCATCATGGACGATAATTTGCAATGCCCAACTTGTCGCTGATGTAAGCGGCCCGAACCTCAAGGGGTTATGTGCCTAATTTCATATTATCAGGGGGTCATGTGCAAAATGTCAAAATCAAAAGGGTTATGTACCTAAATTCATACTATAAGGGGGTCATGTGCAATGTGCAAAATGTCAAAACCAAAAGGGTTATGTACCTAATTTCATACCATAAGGGGGTCATGTGCAATGTGCAAAATGTCAAAACCAAAAGGGGTTATGTACCTAATTTCATACCATATGGGAGTCATGTGGCAAAATATCCAAACCACAAGGGATTATGTGCCTAATTTCATATCATATGGGGTCATGTGCAAAATGTCCAAACAACAAATGGGTTAAGTGCTATTTAACCTAAAATAACCGACTACATAAAGTGCTATTCACTTGGTAAAGTGCTATTACAGAAATAACAACTTTTAGAAAATAAAATAACTAAAATAAAATCAAGAAATAGGAAAAGAAACAATTTCCAATATTCCAATATTACTAATCATTGGAGTTGTATATCCACCAAAATCTACTCCAACTCTTCAAGAGAAATTTTTTGGAGAAAAAACATGAAATTCATTTCAACAAAAATATGGATAAAGACCGGATTTAATATCAGTGGAAGTGCAACGGGCATTAAGCGCCTTGATTCGATCGGGGCAGCGGCTGCGCGAAAGTTGGCAAATTTCGATATCTACGTCGGTTTGATTGTAATTATGATATATTCTGAGGGCATCTACGTAATCCTCCGACAACCGACCGGTCTTCTCGTAATGGTACCGAACCTCTCCGTAAGAGTATCCGCATCCGATTAAGTTAGGTCCGGTACAGTTGATTTCCCATGGATTACACGTGCGATTAGAATTCCTCAACCTCATGCACCATAAATAAAACTTCACCGCCCTTCTCGTAGCTAATTCCGGAGGCGGCGGCCTTTGATTGTCTGCTACTTCCGGCGGTTGATCGGCGGCGGCGGCAAAGAGTGCGAACACCAAAATTGCGGCGGCGAGAATTGACCAGGATAAATTGCTTGCCCTACTCGTTGCCATGGATTTGTATATCGATTTAGTATCCTGTGTTTGTGTGCGTGGGTAAATATTCTCTCTATGTATATATATAGGGCAGAATTTTACTTTAATTTGGACTCTGAAAAAGAATTCCAATTAGATTAGAAAACTTTCGACAAACGGAAAACTAAAAAGTAAAAACTTCACTAGAATTTTCGTGGAGCTTATTGCATAGTATTATTGCATTTAGTACCCCAGTGGAAATTACAATTGCGCTTTTTCCCCTGTCATTAAAAAATTAGCAAAACCCCCGTACTTTGACAACATTAGCAAACCCCCTTACTTATTAGGGGTCTTTATAAATAAGCCTATCAATTGGTACTTATTCATAAACAGATCCAGACAATAAATTCCTTTACAAAAAAGTCACACATGGTCCAGATTTTTGTAAAAGACTAAAATAGCCCCTCATACTTTAATATGCTCCAATTTCATCCTTTAATTTAATTTAACCTCAATTTGACCCCAAATTTCATAAGTTATTCAATTTTGACCAATAAACACATCTTTATGGACACTTTCGTCCGTCACCGCCGTTGACCGCCGGTCTCCGACGTTGACTATTTTTTTTTCTTACTATTTTTTCGTCGGTTTCCGGCGTTGACTTATTTTTATTTTTATTTTTATTTTCTGTCCTGATTTTTCTGCCACCAGTTTCCGTCGTTGACCGGCGGTCAACGCTGGTCTCCGGCGTTGACTTTTTCGATTTTTTTTTTTTTTTTCTGTAATATATATTTTTTTCGTTTGAACAATAATATTGCTGTGATTGACAGTAATATTAACTATATTACTGTTAAACACAGTAAAATTAACTATACTAAAGTTTAACACTGTAATATTGCTATATTAATCTCTAGCACGATTTGTTCGACCCTACACCCGGTGAAAAACACCGGGTGAGTCTTTTGCTGCCACGTGTCTCTTTTTTAAATTTTTATAATAGATTCCGCGCTAGGGTTTACCTTTAGGGGTTTTAGAAAAATAAAAAAAAGAACACGTGGCAGCAGAAGACCCACCCGGTGTTTTTCACCGGGTGTACGGTCGAAGGAACCTCTCTAGCACAATAATATTAACACAATAAAACTCATTATTATTGTGTAATAGAGTATTATTACTATGTTGACCGTTCAACAAATGTAAACATAATAAAAGCCAAAAGAATTAATATTACTGTGAGTGACAGTAATATTACTATAACAACAGTAATATTACCGTCAATCACAATAATATTACAATAATAGACAGTAATATTATTACGTTACTCCGTGAATAACTCAAACAAACAAAAAAATCTAAACAAAATAATAATATTGATGTGGTTGACAGCAATATTACTATAACAACAGTAATATTACCGTCAACCACTGTAATATTATTGTGTTTACAGTAATATTACACTAATAGACAATAATATTATTACGCTACTCCGTGAATAACTCAAACAAAACAAAAAGCCCAAAAAAATAATATTATTGATGTGGTTGACAGTAATATTATTGTGTTTCAGTTATTTTACTGTCAACGACAGTAATATAATTACATTGACTTGTCAACAAATCAAACTAAATTAAAAAAAAAGAATAACAAAA